TTCTCAGCAGGAAACCGATGGACTGTCCACTCCAAGTAGGGAATGAATCCTTACCCCAAGTGAAGGAGTTCAAGTATCTCGGGGTCTTGTTCTCGAGAGAATGAGAATCTCGGAGAATCGGAGCAGCGGGGGCGGTACTGCAGTCCCTTTACCGCACCTTTGTGACGAAAAGAGAGCTGAGCCAGAAGGCAAAGCTCTCTGTCTACCGGGCCATTTTCGTTCCTACCCTCACCTATGGTCATGAAGGATGGGTCATGACCGAAAGAACGAGATTGCGGATACAAGCGGCCGAGATGGGTTTTCTCCGCAGGGTGGCTGGTGTCTCCCTTAGTGATAAGGTGAGAAGTTCAGTCATCCGGGAGGGACTCGGAGTTGAACCGCTCCTCCTTCGTGTCGGAAGGAGCCAGTTGAGGTGGTTCGGGCACCTAGTTAGGATACTACCTGGGCGCCTCTCTAGGGAGGTGTTCCAGGCACGTCCAGCTGGGAAGAGACCGAGGGGTAGACCTAGGACCAGGTGGAGGGATTATATCTCTTCGCTGGCCTGGGAGCGCCTTGGAATCCCCCAGTCAGAGCTGGTTGATGCTGCCAGGGAAAATAAAGTTTGGGGCTCTCTGCTGGCACTGCTGGCACTGCTACCCCTGCGACCCGAACACGGATAAGCGGGAGAAGAAAGATGGATGGATGGAGTTCTATGTTCAGATTGTTCTTGTGCAAAATGTAATCACATGTTGCTAATATATTTTTCCGTCAAGACAGCATTACTTCACTATAGTTACTTAAAATACATTTAAGCTGGTCGCTACCCCAGTTCACCTTTTTTCGATGATGCAATTGATCCTGACTAATCTTTTTTTGTGTCTGCATTTCACACCCCGCAATATTTCTGGCCTCTTTAATTTTGTGCCTTGGCATTCAGTTGAAAGAGCTCTGACTGTGCAAAATGCTGTTCTCATGTATTTTTTGTGGATCATTTTTATTGGTAACAAATTATTTATTTTTCCTGGGAATGAGTTGATTTGTTACAGGTCCACTTTTTGCTGAGACCCCTGTTAACCCTCCAACTGTGCACAAACCGAACACTTTGTGCTCACACAAACACAAACAGACACACACACTCACTCACATTTGTTCACTTTCAAAAAATGTGGTCAAGTTCATAAACATAAAAACTGGCTTTCTTTCACAGACATGCTCTTAGACACCCAGAGGAATTTACTGCAAGGACCCCACACTGCGCTTCATCTTGATAAATAAAAGTTTTGCCATGCCCTCTTAGTCTGCAGATTTTAAGAAGGTGTCAAATAGCTTGTTTTCCTACTGCAGGAGCCAGAGATCATACATTTTGTGACTGACCAACAAAATATCATCAAACTCTCAAAAATGCCTTGTGGTTAAAGCTGATTTTTAGCTACACTCAAACTGTGACTAAATAAGATTAGGATTGTGGTTGATGCTCAGTCCAACATTTGGTCCAGTGAGATCTCTACAACTATTGCGTTGATGCAGGCACTAATGATACCTATAGATTAAACCATAATGACTCTGGTTGTTGCATTCAAATGTATGTTGTTTCAACACATCTACATGTTATCCAACACTTTGGTTTCTCACAGGGAACCTCCCAGAATTCCTGTTTAGCTACCATGCTATATGAGCTATGTATGTCGGTGTAGAACTAAGCTTGACAAGCAGAGTCTTAAATATCTTGGAAAGGCCACCGTTCTTATATAAAGCTTATTGATTAGGTATCAAATTGGCCTTTTGTCTGCCGCCTTCTATCAGACTAGATTTTATATTTTAGGCCCACTTGTTGAAATAATCGGAGAGTTTTTTCTCAATGCTGGCCAATTTTGGTTGGTTCATCACTTTTGGTTGGTTCATCACTTCTGATTGGTTCATCACTTTTGATTGGTTCATCGCGTTTGATTGGTTCATCGTGTTTGATTGGTTCATCGCGTTTGATTGGTTCATCCTATAATATGTTGACAATTCTATATGGATTAAGACATTTTTAAAACATATATATCCATAGTCCACAGAAATGACAATGATGATCCCAATCAACATGTTTAAATAGTTTGTTTATAATGAAATATATCCATAGTGTTGGATGTATATTTCCAAAATGTCATACTCAAATTCAGGATGCTCAGAGGATAAATTGTAATAACTTAGCGTAGACTTAATCTTAAACCACCTCTTTGCCTACAGCCTCACAGAGCAGCTTGGACTCGTGAACGTGTAGTCTTGTACATCCTTCAGTACTTTGTTTTCTGATGTGTGACAATCATAACTGCAATATGGGGCTAAAATAATGTCTATAGAGTGCTGCAGGGATGACATGGTTTTGTAGGCAAACACTGGAGATCGAATTGCACTGGTTCCCTAGCGTAGTGGTATTTTAGTCATTCGCTTTGGCTGAATAAAATGGAATTCTTAACAGAACCACCTTTATTAAGACGTTTAAAAACTTAAAAATGTGTGAGTGGGGTAGTAACTGAGATATTTCAAAAACCCTATCCTTTATTAACCAAAAACCTATTGACTTTGAGAGGAGGGAAGCAAAAGTGCAAAACAGAGACTCATTTCATTTTTTTTTTTACTTATTCCTCCACAATTTCATTGGCTCTTTTCTAATGACAGGGGTTTCAACTAAAAGCAGCATTTTAATGCAAAGCTTCACGATACTCATTACAATACATTTACTAATGAGTACCCTACTCCACCTCTAAATTATCCATTCACCATTCTCTTAACTACAGTGTGTTCAAAGTAAAGCCGGCATGATTGACAGGTGTCCTATAGTTAAAGGCACAGAACACCTTTCCACAACACTGCTTAGTAGCCCCGTCATTTACCCACTATTATTCCAATAAACATCAACACCAGGATGGAAAAGTCATGTTGACCTGACAGCAGACTCCCATTTCCATTGCCCCAGATCTGTTTGTGGGTACATAAGAGAGACAGCCCATATAATCACAATACGTAACACCTGCAAGCCTTTCCTCTCAACACCGAGCACAGGCTGACCGTCAATAGATTTGCTTGTTTGAAACCTGAGTTGGGCTTTTTTTCTCAGGACAATGAATAGAGTTTGGTTGCAAAGCAGTTATTAAGTGGGAGAGGTGTTTGAATTTACCTCTCTAAGGAGTTTCAGGCTGGGAATAAGGGATTTTGGTCAAGGCCTTGTAAAAGAGGCACAAAAGAGGGAGAGTGCTCACCAATTTGTATTTGGTTGCTTTGAATAACGGTGTTATGAAACCAAGCTGGAAAGAGGAGATCATATTCATATAAGCCAACAAATGTATTAACCATGCGATAATGTTGACATTTGGTGTCATCCACAGGTGAAAAGCAGGAATTTGTTGTAGTAACAGACACTTAGCTAAAGAGGAAGTGTCACTAATAATAAATGGGTTGGTCAAGGTATTTTTATATGGATCTGCATCAGCTGAATTAAAGCCAATAATAGTGTCTCATTTATTGTGTTTTGTCTTACGTGGAGTTTAACATTTTCTCAAGTACTGAAGCAAGGTGGGATTTGAGGGACTTAAGTACTTTCACATTATGCTTCTTTATCATTTTACTCCACTAAATTAATTGAGCTGCATTGCAAATGGACAACTCAACTTAAACATTATGATATATTATTATTATAGGTGACGCTGCCCATCACTATATCAAATAATTAAAATAGACCCCAGATTTACCAAATGAAAATATAAAGTGATGAACAAATTAATGCATCAATAATTCAAATACAATCATTTTAAATGTATGATTCCGAAATTGGCCATTCTCCATAAAGATTAACATTACTTGTGTCATTTTGAATGCAGGACTTTTACTTGTAACTTACAGTATTTTTACACTGTAGTATTGTCAATTTTACATTAATAAAATATTGGAGTAGTTCTTCCAGCTTTGGAAAATAAGCTGAATAATTGTACTATTTGGACCTATGGATGTGATGGCAAATTATATTTGAGTCTTTCCTAGTAACAGGAATGAGCTACATCAATTTCAGGAGTTGAATTATCCCAGTAGAACTCATGTTCATATATTATCAACAATTCAATCTTAATAGTTTTGAACAAGGATCTCCAGTATTTAGATCAAGCCGATGCAAAAAGAGGGAGCCAGGTTTAGAAGTCTGAAGCTAATATATTATGTTTGCAATGTTTAGCTATATTTAATTATTGGATTGGATATACTGTGGTATGACATCTTGAATAGCTTACTCCTTGTTTATTGCATAAACAAAAGCTTCCTATCACAATGTATTGAGTGCAAGCATGCACCAAAGCCCAATAAACACCTGCATGTATGCGTACTCACTAACAACACACACTCATGCATATTCACATTGGCCAGCAGACACACATTGAGAAAAACAAACACTCATCTGTCAGTATGACACCATGTGATGCTGAAGGGAGGTGTTAATCTTTAGTTTTTGCAGTGACAAGTGGGGCTGGCTCATTCCAGCAGGTGACTGTCGTGCTACTGTACAGCCCCTCGGAGAGCCTTTCCACTCAGGTAGAGACACTCCTGCGACTGGTTCACCATTCACTTTTTACATAAAAAAGGTAGGAATCTGTGAAAACAATTGTTTCTGTGCAGTAATTGCAAATTCAGATTTTGTAATTCAATCAAAAATCTAGGGATGAAAAAAAAGGGGTGTGAAATATGATCTCATACATGTATTTAGATACTAAAAGGCTGGTTTCCTTCAGTTTTACAAAGAATAATAATTATATGGATGAAATGGGCATGCAACCCTGGCTAATGAATAGTAAAGATTCTTGGCCGCTTAACGAAATGCAAATGTTGTTATGTTTAAAGGTTTTTCGCTGAGCTGACAGAAATCTTAAGGAAAAAGTCATTAAAGGCTTTGTACAGCTGAACAATTGGTAATCTGATCATTGGTATTAAGAGAGAAATCCAATGCCTGAATGGTTAAAAGCAAAACAAGATGTGGTCAAGGTGATAAGCAAGGTTTGTGATCATGTTTCACAGTGTAATCTGATCAAACTCAGTCATGCAAGAGACAATTGTTAATGATCTTGGATACAACACAACCATTAGTGGTATTCGCTGATAAAATAATGCATATGTATATGTTTGATATCATTTGATAAAAATAGAATAGGTATGTTCAAGGGAGAAGGACAGCTGCCATTATTGTTGTCACAACAGGACTGAGTCTGTTTCATTATTATCATAGTATTGGTGTTTTAAACAGCGAAAAATGAAAGACTGGTAATCCTAAAGGTCATGTTTGCATTATTAAAGATCATACAGCAGTAGTGACAAAGTAGAATCAGAAACCGACTGCTGATTTGAAATACTGTAGACCAACAAATGATTCATTACATTTCCGTGCGCAAAAAGAGAAATAAGTGTTGACACTCACAGGAATGACCCGAGTCAACAGGAAACAAATCAACATCTAAAGTGATTCTGGTTGGAAGTTCTTCCTCTTGAGAAGCAATGTTAGGCTATTTCTGACATTCAAACTTAAAGTGGACCTATCATGCAAAATGCACTTTTGTACGTCTTTTATACATGAATATGTGTCCCCACCCGGTGTTACAGGGAACTCACCAAGTGTCTCTCTTTTCCTCCGTACCCACATTTAAAAAAAAAACGGGGCTACAACGAGCGGATACAGATTCCATCCGACCCGACGTCAGCCCGGAATACTGGGCGGTGACGCTCCACCTACATGGGCATCGCTCCACCTATCAGGGAAATGGGGGGTTGGGCCACGGCCGGCCATTGTCGCTCGAAAGCGCTGGAGACGCTGTAGTACATATGCCAGGCCTGTAAGTGGGTTATGGCTAGAAAGGATCCGTCTAGTGTAAATATGACGTCACGTTCTCGTTGTAACTCTCGTTGTAATCGGAGCGGCTCGGAAACACATCTACAGAAGTAACATGATGCAACATACACATTAATGCAGCAGCAATATTAATAGAGAAACATCAGACATAATAGTAAAACACTGCAAGTGAAAATTGTATTGCACCAGGANACCTTGGAAAATGCCGTTTAATAATTTTTAATAGCCTTCATTTTCGCTAAATTGATTTATCAACTTTTAATACTTTTTAAGACACCCTGGATTGGTCAACCAGCGACGAGATGTCCCGCCCCTTAGCCTATCCAAAACAATGTGTTGGAGCGCTAGCCATAAAAGTGTGAGTGCTACTTAGTGATGTCCCTTTGTAACAGTAAACAAAGGAGTCTAATTCACCATTCACTAAAACCTATATAACACACTACAGGAAAGGAAAAACTGAAAAAACCTAATAGGGCCTCAAACCAACACTAGAACAATCTTACACTTCAATCGTTTGACTTTTAAGTGACAAAGATATGTAAGATTGTGTACAGTATCTTAATACATTAAAACATTTCAGCTCACTTACATCTCTGGCTTTGCCATAGAAGGCCTCTTGAGACGCAGCTTCCAAAGTCCCGATGAAGAACATTGGGTGGGTCTCTCCATACCTTAGGGACACAAAGATCAGTTCATAAAGACATTGTTACATGCCGGCTTTCTTTTGTTTTCAAAGCCTTTCAAATGAGAACCTGACGTTTAGCTCCTACCTTGAAGAAAATTCGGCAGTAAAGTGCAGTAAGGCATCAGCTTCGTTCTCGCTATTTTCTGGCACTGTAAAAAAAAAAAAAAAGATTATTGTCAAACTCTGAGATGCATGCCCCTGGAGTTCAATACAAAACCTGGAGCGGAAATTAACAACTCAAATAATGCTCCACTTGACTTACTCATAGGTGCTTTCCGACAGGTAGAGGATCCCAATCCAAACATCTCCGAATCGTCCACCCCGAACTCTGACGCGTCTTCAAAATCATCCGCGTCACTGTCGCTGACCATATGGACATCTGCACACTGTGGACATGAAGCAGCATCAGGTTTATTGGAGGTTTACACGTACAAGCTATTGATATTGGTGTGTAATGGTGCGTACACAAACACAGTAAGAGAAATGAAGTTGTAAAAATAAGCAAATATAGAACCTTTGAAAAAATACTTACACCTTACTCAAAGTAATCGTTGACTACCGTAATTTTCGGACTATAAGGCGCACCTGAATATAAGCCGCAGCAGCTAAATTGAATGATGTGTACATATATAAGCCGCACTGGACTATAAGCCGCAGGTGTTTTAATGTTTCATTACCATATGTAAGGGTTCGTGCACAGAGGGGATTGTCGGGAAAGAGATGGCTGTTTGAGGAAGCTCCCATTTATTAACATTTCAACAAACAAGTTGCATATTTGCATAACGTATTCAAGTGTTAGCATTTAGTGCAATAGTAGCTACAGAACATGTGCTGTGTAAACTGTACTGTATCACATAGCGTTTCAGACACACAAACTTCTACAGCAGTGGTTTTCAACCAGTGGTACGGGGACAAACTGTCTCGCTCTCGTAATGTCTGTCTGTCTTGCTCTCGTTCTGTCTCTCGTACCACTCTCGGTTCCACTTTTACTTTTGCGCGCTACCTGTCTCACTCTTTTCCGGCCTCCAGCTTTTCCTGCTGGAGCCCGCCGCTTAAAGGTGGGGGGCGCGGACCGGCCATAGAGCCCATAGAGTTAAAGGTGGTGGACTGTAACCTGTAAAATCCATAGATTTAGGAGGTCCCCTAGTGACCGTTAGCTGTACAAATCCATAGATTAGCCGCAGCGTCGAAAAATTGGAAAAAAGGCGCGGCTTATAGTCCGAAAATTACGGTAAATATAGATTGTTTTGTATGTCTGAGGTCTTTCTTGCAAGTAAACACCCCAAATCATGAGCTGTGCCATGTACAACAAGAACAAGACAAATACTATGGAAAATTAAATATCTGAGCTCTGCAGTTTAAACAGATGGTAGCATTAAACAAATGATTTAACAATATTGAGAATTAAACAGACAGAAGTTATTAATACAATTATTTTGTTACTTAGTGCCAAGGCGTGTGTGTGTGTGTGTGTGTGTGTGTGTGTGTGTGTGTGTGTGTACCTCTTCTGTGGGTTCCTGGGAATTGGCTGCTGAGGACCTTCGACAAACACTGAGGTGATGGCAGGGAAAGGTGATCCCAGAGACAGCTAGCGTCATCTAAAAACACAAAGGGAGAGTCATTAGCCTAACAACGAAGGACAACTGGTGGTGTGACATCTTAAACCATATTCGATTACTTGCCCCAATATACGTCAACTCAAAGTTACTATTGAGTTATTATTTCTTCTTACCAAAGAAATGATACAGACACTTTATGGCAGAGTCCAGTTTTGTCGAAACAACAACTGGGAATCTTAGTTTCTCAAACAAACCACTATACCTCAGTATCAGTCAAATTCTGACAAGACCAGTTAAAGTAAGTCTCATTGAACACTCGGACCACACAGTTACAGACTTCGTTTTTTTATTTATTAAAACCCCGGTTTAAGCTGGGTTCTCCGTAAATAAAAATCATGATTCTGGTCGTGCTCAATTGAAAACAATCACAGACAGGCTTTCAGAATTTAAAAGAAAAACCTGGTAGGAGATGACTTTGATAATATTATCAGTTTAAGATGTTAAAAATACTGCACAATCATTTCATTTCTTATATCTCTCGCTGCCGGCCAACATTTAGTTAATGTTTACCCATGTACAACTGAGGATATTTTTTTTAATGTATTTCTTTTTTGCCGTTACAGGACTTTTTGGAGAGTACCTGACCGTGCAGGATTGATTAATGACTTCCAAACACAGCCTTCTCACTTCTCTAATAAGAGGAAAAGCATGATGAGGTTCATGAACACCTGCAGTGGCTGTGATGGTGGTTTTGTAGTAAGAGAACACCTGACTAATGAGCTCCCAAATCCAAAGGCAGGACTGTAAATGTCAGCGTTCAGCGGGGACTCATTACAGCTGCTGTCTCCTGGCTGAGACCCGAGGGATGGCAATAATACAGGCGAGGCAGTTTGCAGTAAAACTGAAGATACCCTCCTTTAAAAGAGCAGGATTTAATGTTGATGCCCCCCATCATCTAACTACCAAAATGCAACTTATATATTCAACATGAAGACACCTTCTTGTCACAGTGACCACAAGGGCTGCACATGTAATGCAAGTGTTATCAAAATCATCAATATCTAAATCACAGTAAGTGAAATATTTGGTAAAGTCACAATATCATTCGACACACTTCTACAGAACATCTTACTTGGTACACATCCTCCTAACTACAGACTACAAGATCATTTTAATAACTTTTTTAATAATCATGTGAAGAATGTTTCAAAAACAATCATTGCCTTTTGGACTATCAGTCAAAAATAATCACTTAAGGTTTCTTTCCCTCAAATTGTGACCACCAAACGCAGGACTGGTAACAATCCAGCCGTGACTTCTAGCCTGAACATACTGGTACTTGTCACAATAACGCAACAATACATCCACTGAGGCACTAATTGTTGAGAGCAGAGCGTAACAGAAGCCCAGATGCAAATAGTTTTCTGGGAGAGTGAACTTCTAAACAGCAGGGCAGCGGCAGAGAAGCTGTGTCTCCCTGCAGAGGTCTCGTGATCTGCTCCATTGTCGCCCGCTAAGACACACAAAGAGCAGCTGGACGCGGTTGAATCGGGAGACGATTACATGCAACGCCAATTGAGTCTGAAAAGAGCTACACGGACCTCACGGAGTTTCTCTCTCTGAAGGGAGAGTGGCTCCTCACGCTGGCCCCCGCTTCTATAGCAGCTCACAACAGTGTAACCACTAGAGCCTGTCAGCAACATGGACTTACTTGTGAGCACTGCTGTTTACCTGGACCCTGATGAAGACCATGTTTCTTTTAAAAAGGGGCATTCACAGTCGGCTATCCATCTTTCCACACTTCCTTATCTTTTCAATGTTTAGAAAAGTAAGTTTGCTGCAGCGAACAAAAAACATTTGGACAGCAGTGGTTGAGCGACACACGTGACTGAAGGCAACTGGTGTTGGGAATAGGGCTGCAACAAACGACTCATTTGATAATCGATTAATGAAACGATTAATCGATTATTCGGATTGTTAAGGTTTTAACTGTACTACTACTTATATCGATACTGCTTATCGATCCGGTCCTTTTAACGATAGTATTAACGGTTCTTTTGACAAGAAATAAGGTAAACTAACTAAACAAATTGTGAACAAAACATTGCTTTTTATTTTAATTAAATGCATAATATTTCACATCAAAAGAAACAACAATGTTTTAACAAATCATATTAAATAATGTGATGACAGAACTGCAAACAGAATAGCTGAAACTTTAACTAAATAAATAACTCAGTTACCTCTAATCATTAACCCATGTTTGTATCATTGAGTTAACTGTGTGTGTTGCTGCTAGCATACATAACACCTGACGTGGAAACGTTACTCGTGGACGGGGCTACAGAGCTACTAGAAAGACAGTGGAACCATACTTGCCAACCTTGAGACCTGAGAGAAAATGCAAAATGGGGGGGGGTGCTAGTGGATCGCCGGAGCAGTTAGATTAACATTAACATGCTTATATTGTAGTTCTAAGTGCAATGCCTTGCGGCCTGTAGCACCATCCTTGATGGAGCATATGTGTGGGCAGGAAAGGAGTGAGCAGAGAGTAGAGTAGTTGTCGATTTTTGTTCTGTTTTCTGTGACTATCTGGGGCACCCAGTAAAAAACAAACAATTGTAACTTATGTTGTAAATTTTTTTTCATAAATTTTTTTTTTTTTTTTTTTTGTTAGAGGCGTAGGGGTTTAAAAAAAAGAAGGCGTAGAAAACTTTTAGTGCACTAGCCCGGAGGCTAGGGGCTAGTGCACTAGCCTAAGCGCCTGTAGAAAAAAAAAAAAAAGATCAAAGGTACAATTGGCGAAGAAGAAATTCAATCGCGCGGCGTTGATTTTCAGACTC